GAGGAAAGCTGAATTGAGAATCTTGACCATTTTTATGCTACTAGTCAGGTTGATTGATGTAAGATCATGATGTCTAGTTGATAGGTTAAATATGACAAGATTGATGAACAAATGTAACTTTCTAGGATAGATATAATTTACAACTTTAAGTGAACACATACAGTTCCTGGCACAAATATTTTAACAAATACAGTTTTCTACAATAAACATTTATAGACTCAAGGTTGTAAATTACTGGTCCTTGGAATTATTAAAATAAACCTCCTAATATTACAGGCAAGATCTTTGTTTTTCTTAGTAAATAGACTTGGACCAAAGTTTAACTTTGATGACATGATACAGAATATGTATAGATGCAACTTAAAATTTTATAGTAACTGTTATATATTTACTAACTGACTTTTTTTTTTTTCTAAAGCTGTAGTTGGCAAACTATTTCTGTAAAGGGCCAAATAATATTTTAGGCTTTGTGGGACAAAAGGCAAAAATCTATGTATTATAGACTTCTATAACAAGAGAGAAAACTCCTCCCTTGCCCACCGTGTTTCCCTGGGTGGGCTGTCTCAGATGGTGGCATACTTTGTGCCCACTTGCCATCAGATGAGACACGCTCAGAAGGAGAGGCCTGACAGGGCTTGTGACCCCTGGGATCATTTTCACTCTCTGCTCTAGTAATGCTCAGATCCTGGTGTGCCCTTCACTCCTCCTGGAGGGCTCAACCATTTCAACTTTGGCAGCTGGCTGGAGATGAGGCAACTTAGTGAGTTGCCAACTTCCAGACTGAAATTCTACTGCTTGGTGTCTAGCAGTTGCCAGCAGTGGAGTCCCCAACATGTAGGTGCCAACCAGAGTGGGCCCTAGGCAGCTGCAAGGCCTGGTCACCAGTCAGAGGAGGCAGGCCTGGGAACAGAGTGGGGAAGAGGGTCAGAAGGGGATACCCTGGCTTGGTCTTTGCAGCTGACAATGCTAGCCTGTTTAAAGTGGTGCCCGCGGGCCATATATAAACAGACAAGAGGCCGGATTTGGTTTTAGTTTGCCAACATTTGCTCTAGCCATTGAGGCTTCCACCTTTAAGTCTTCTGTTTCCCAGAGTAGTAATCCGAAACAGGTGTGGCTCAGGGCAAGCCTTACAGGCCATACTGATTCCCTTACAGGATCAAACCAGAAGATGCCATGGACTTTGGCATTTCTCTCCTCTTCTATGGCCTCTACTATGGAGTTCTTGAGCGGGACTTTGCAGAAATGTGTGCAGACTACATGGCATCTACCATAGGGGTGAGTTCACCTGGGCTCTTAATACTGCCTCCTGTCACCTTCAAAGAGTTCAGGATAGCATCACTTGTTTGACCAAAGAGATAACACCTATAAAATCCTTTAAGATGCGAGTGGTATGTATGGAGATTCCTTCCTTAAAATTTGGAAAGCCAGATCCCAGATGTACCCTGGAATTTTTAATTTTAGAGCCATTATAAGAAAGAACCACTTTACCCTGTAGGAAGTTAACATTTATTCAACCAATATTTATTTAATGCCTCCTGTGTGCCTGGACACTGTGTATGTGCTGGAATTACAAAGGTATATAAAAGTAAACATGGTCCTTGCCCAAATGGAGTTTACTGTCTAATGACAGAGATGGGTATTAAAGTAATAAACACACAAATAAATATAAAATTGTAAGTTTAGGGGCCGGCCCCATGGCTGAGTGGTTAAGTTTGCGCGCTCTGCTGTGGTGGCCCAGGGTTCAGATCCTGGGCGCGGACATGGTAGCGCTCGTCAGGCCACGTTGAGGTGGCGTCCCATATGCCACAACTAGAAGGACCAGCAACTAAGATATACAACTATGACCAGGGGGGATTTGGGAAGATAAAGCAGAAAAAAAAATTGTAAGTTTAGTAAATATTATGAAGGAAAGGTTCATGATACTGTGAACAAATACAGTAGTGGCGTTTGACCTAGTCTTGGGGCTCAAACATGGCTTCCCTGAAGAAGTGACTCTGAGCCAACTTGAACAATGAGTAGGAGTTAATTAGATGAAGTGGGAAGTGAAGTGTGTACCAGGTAGAGAAAATAGCATGTGTAAGAGTCCTGTGGTGGAAGAAAGGGTGGGCATTTTGAGGAATCAAGGCTGGTGTCATTGTAGGGCTGAGAATGTAGTGGAAGTGTCTGAAGAAATAGTCAGAGGCTAGACTAGAAAAGTCTTATAGGCCAAATGAAAGACTGATTTTTATACTAAACACAGTGGGAGGCTAAGATAGAAAATGACATCATCAGATTTGCACTTTGAAAAGATCATTCTGGCTACTGGGTAGAGAACAGATTGAAGAGGAGTCTACAAATTAGGGTGGACCGCTTAAGACGATTTAAGAGACAGTTGCGGTAGTCTGGGCAAGATGAAGGTAGCCTGGATTAGGGTAGAAATGGTGGAAAGGGAGGGAAGTGGACTCTTTGAGAAGTATTTTGGAGGTAAATTTGACAGGACTTGGATATAGATTGGTTCTGGAGACTGAAGGAAAAAATATGAAGGAAAGGTAGGTATCAGAGCTGACATTTCTAACTCAAGCAACTCCTTGGTTGGTATCCTTTTCACTGAGATAGGAAATGCTCCAAGAGGACTAGGTAGAGACCATGGAGAGATTGTTCAAGCTTAAAATATGGGTAAATTAACAGCCAGTCTAAGAAACCCAAGTCAGTATCTTCTTTCAAAATGGAAATATGTCTTTGTTGTTTCTTTCTTTCAAAATGGAAATATGTCTTTGTTGTTTTGCTTTTTCTAAAGGTAATTCATTCTCTTTGTAATTATATAAACAACACAGAAGTGCTCCCCACCTTAGTATTATCACCTTTGACCCTTTGCCAAGAAGGAATATTTCCAGGTTTAATGGACATTTCTCCAATTCTGTGCTGAAATATGTTTGGCTCTGTCTGATGAACATTCAGAAGTTCTTGCTGCATCGAGGTTTGGCAGTTTGGAGAGAAATTCTAGGAGAATATTAGGGAAGTAGGTCTCTTAGAGCATCCAGATACCAGTCCTGGCTTTTAGGCAGCAGGTATCAATGGAGACCAGTTGAGAAGCTAGGAAAAGATAGCTGCTGACTTGATGTGAGGCACCTCAGGAACTCCTGGAGAGTTCGAGGCAGTTTGGCAGGTGGGGGCTCTTTGCTGTGCAAGTGTGTATGTCAGTGCCATGGTGATCTCACTTGTGCCAAGGCCGGGAGGCTTAGGGCAGTTTGGGTTGAGCAGAATACTCTCAGCCATCACCTTGGGTAACTTCAATCAAGTATAGTTTTAGGTCTAGGACTTTGTTTCTCAGTATCATGGGACGATTTTTATTTTTCCTGTCATGGATCAAATTGAAAACGACGTGTATTCAGTCACTTTATAGACAGCCTATTAGATTCTTTTTTGAACAACTGTCTTATATTTCAGCTGCATTTCACTTTCTCTTATCTGTTTGTGCAGACTTCAGATCTTCTTTAACCAGTTCACTCCCCAAAAGAGATTTGCAGACCCTCGGTTGTCTAATTATTAACTTCACTCTCGGCCATAGCTGTTCACTAAGACTGCTTCTGTGGCATAGCCAGCTTTTCAGAGTGACTCTTGCCAGTATCCTTTCCTTTACCCTTTAGTGATATCTTTTTCTTCTCATTCTGTTTTTACAGGACAATTCTCTGATTTTCCCAGGTTGTTGCTAACTTTATGTCAAGGTTATTATCAGCTGCCAATTTGAGCATAACCTTAATTCCCTCAGTTGGATCATAATTACCAATCTATGGAACCCCTCTTCTGTCCAAATGGAACTGAGCTGAGAATTGATCTGCAAGTTAGCTTCTCCTCTAGAAGATGGGATCACTACATTGGCCTCCCCAAAGTGGAGTTTGAGTGGGGCCTCTTTCCATGCTCTTGGGAAGAATTATTGGGTGCTCCAGGGATTACAAATGATAATCCCTGATAAGATAATTTCCTAATACTGATAAATTCCTGCTTCACTAAGAGACCTGGTGGGAGATTTTCTTGTTAGGGTGGAGGGTGCCTCAAACACTAGCTGTTGATCCGTCATATTCTCCTTCCTTTTATGGGATATCACACTTTATGGGATACCACTCCACGCTCATTCTTTACAGTCTGGCCTAAGGATAAACCCTTATACCTCCCTACGCCTCTTAGCACAAGAACATAAGGTTCAAATAATCACATCAGACTTTATTAAAGGGTTGAGGATGATAGCAGGAAAATGAACTGTGAGTACTTGGATGAGCTTAGTCTGACTTATCAGGCTGCTTGCTTTCCAGGCTTCCAGACCCTGCCTCATCCAACTCTCAGCCTGCCTCTGTGTAGTGGGTACTGTCTTAGCACCCACCACTTAGAATCCACATCTAGCAACTACTATCCTCCAAATGTCTAGACCTAGAGCCTGTGTTCCTAACAAAAATATGCCTCGGGCCATCCAGCTGAATCCTGGTGCCTTATGTGAGGATCTACTTCTTCCCTAGGTAATTGACATTGAGAATGGCTGTCCCTTTCAGAGGAGCCATTCTATCCAACTGTCTCTTTCAGAGGAGCCACTCTAACCAACTCCTGTCCAACAGAATGTAACCTTGCTGACCCTGAGCACAGACAAGCAGTTTGCTGTTTCCCTAGGCCCCTATCTCAGGGGCAAGGAGCGGCTCATAGGAAGACTAGGATGGCTTGTGATAGTACTGGGTGAGTCACCAGGAGTTAATTCATTCATTGTTTCTCACAGCAAATATTGCGGAGACTCAGTAACAGGCCTTCTGCTAGGGTTTAGGATGCCAACAGATTAGACCAAGCAAGGATATGGGAGAAGGGACTCCAACATGGGATAAAGAGATAGATTAAGGGGCTGGCCCCGTGGCCGAGTGGTTAAGTTCGCGCGCTCTGCTGCAGGCGGCCCAGTGTTTCGTTGGTTCGGGTCCTGGGCGTGGACATGGCACTGCTCATCAAACCACGCTGAGGCGGCGTCCCACATGCCACAGCTGGAGGGACCCACAACAAAGAATATACAACTATGTACCGGGGGACTTTGGGGAGAAAAAGGAAAAAAAAAAGGAGATAGATTGCACTACCTTTATAGTTCTTTCCAACCCTGAGACTTTCAGGGACTCTCTTATTCTGCCCAAGTCTTTGGTCAAGTGGGCCTTGGTCTGCTGGGAAACACCTGGGCCCCTGAGCCATGACAACCTGAATTTCGAGAATATCCCTGGCCTTGAAGCCAGAATATGATCAATGCTTTGGGGAAGGCAATTTGAGGAAGACAGGAAACTTGAGCCTTCCATGCATTCATTGGCCAACTCATTTATTTATTCAAGCAACAGTTATTTATCAGCCATCTACAATGTACCAAGTGTGACCAAGGGCAGCTTTTACTAGCACCACTATCACCCACTTCAGTAGCAGCCCTAGTCATTTTTTTAGAATTATGGTAAAATACACATAACATAGAATTTACCCTCTTAACCATTTTTAAGTGTACGGTTCAGTGGCATTGATATATTTGCGTTGTTCTGCAACCATTAACACCATCCATTCATAGAACCCTTTATTTTGCAAAATTGAAGCTCTATACCCATTAAACAATAACTCTGCAGTCCCCCCTCCCCTCAGCCCCTGGCAGCACCATTCTACTTTCTGTCTCTATGAATTTGACCACTCTAGGTACCTCATGTAAGTGGACTCATACAATATTTGTCCTTTGTGACTGGCTTATTTCTCTCAACATAAGGTCTTCAAGGTTCACCTATGTTGTAAAGTGTCAGAATTTCCTTCCTTTTTAGGGCTGAATAATATTCCACTGTATGTATATACCACATTTTCCGTCCTAGTCATTTTCCATAGTCTTTTGTACATTCTCTGATCACAGCTCCTATCCCAGAGAGTCATAGTTGATTTTGGAGCTGTTCTGCCCTCCAGGTCAGGAACTAGGTCTGGTTCTTCCCTTGGTCCTCCTCTGAGAATGGTTTGACCTAAAAAAAGATATGTGACTAATGAATTTCAGGGTTCCTAGAAAAGAAACCATGAGCTTCTGTAATTGTATTAGCAAGCATTCTCAATTCCTTTTCATTATTCTACACTAGTCTGTTTAGTGTAGAATAGCTCTTTGTTTTACCTCACGTGGGGAAATTTGTGTTATGAACTAAGGTAACTCTTCTTAAGCTGAGTTAAGGGAACCTTGGATGACATCTGTTCTTTCCAGCTGGTCACTGTGAGGTCATAAGCTTGTGACAGCTGGTCAGTTTAGTTTCCATTTACACCCTAAAGTCACGTTAGTGTGGGGGTAGGGAGGAGGATTGTGAAATAGGCCTATTTTCTGAGCCTTCTTCCTCTAAGAGGGGCAGGCAGGGTAGTAACACATTGTGCTGTGTTGGGCCATGTGTCCTCCCTTACTCTTTCTGTCTTTCTGAGCAAGTTCTTGTGCCCCAGATTTACCTCCTGGATTTTCAGTGGCCCCAGATAACATCAGGATAGGACTAGCTGCCCATTCATCTGGCTTGAAGTAGTGGAAAGAGCTAGGGGGTTAGAGTCAGGCAGACCTGGTTTCAAATTCTAACCTGCTATTAATTAGCTAGGAACTCTTGAACAAGTTACTTTACTTCTCTGATTGTGTTTTCTTAGCTGTAATAATATTAACAGACTTAGGGAATTGTTGTAAGGAACAAATGGGTTAGTGTAAAGCATTTTGCAGAGTAGCCTGGTCCATGGCAGACACTCAGTAGGTGGTGATTATGGTGGTAGCTACCATTTAACCAGTACTCACTGTACAGTACTGCTGTACTGTAAAACTGTGTATTTTACATCTGTAATCACCTGGAGCACAGGTGCCCTGTAGGATTCGTCTTTGTATCTTCATCATACCTGACACACAGAGCAAGATGTAGAACAACAAATCATAATCACGAGTAAATGCCAATTCTCTCTTGATGCCATCTGTTGTCTGAAGTCATTTCAGACCACGCTGTGACATGGAATCTCCTCTACAGTAGCCCTGAGAAGTGGTTATTTTATTCAGTTTGTCAAGTGTTTCTGAAATCATCTGCTCGAACTGATTAGGCACTGGCTCAGCTCTGCCACCAGCTCTCTCTGGCCTCAGGCGGGGCTCTCTTCCTGCTTGGGCATCAGTCTTCTCACCTGTCAAGAGAGGGTTGGACTAGAAGAGCTCGCAAGGCTTTCACAGCACTCATTTTCTTGGTGTTCACTGGTGTGGAAAAGAACTCATATTTCCTGAGCACCTACGGTATGAAGCTCCCTTGCTGGGGTTTTACATGTTTTCTCAGTGAGTCCTCCCAATACCGTGGGAGGTCAGGAGTAGTATTTCTATCCTACGATGGAGAAATCGTACTGCATTTGTCTGGAGAGCTTATTCTCCCACTTTGAGTAACCCCCATTTCAAACTTCTCCACTCTCCAACCTCTCACACCCATTCTTCTGTCCCTTCATTGTCAGCAGGTGACCTTCCCTCCTATTTACCTGGGAAACTAGAAACCAAACAGGAATTTCCACAATTCCCTGACACCATTATCTACTGATGTACATATGTTTGCACCCATCTTTTCCTCCTTCCCTTCAGTTACAGTGGAGTAAGTGCTCTTTCTCCTCTCAAAGGCCAGCCCCACGTGTACTCTGGATTCCATACCCTTCTGCCTGCTCAGGGACCCTGTATGCAATTGACTTCCTTTGCTCATGACTCCAACTTCCCCCTCTCTACTCGGCTCATCATATTAACCTTTAAGCATTCTTTTTCAAAAACATCCTTTTTTTGACCCACTTGCTCCATTTCTGACCCATTTCTTGTTATTCACAGCTAAACTTATAGAAAGTTCCCGTCTCCTTTTCATCACTTTTTACTTACTCCTTAACCCATTCTAATCTGGCCTCAGGTCATACCCTTCTTCTGAAATGACTTTTACTCAGATCACCAGTGACTCTGTGTCACTAATTTTGGAGACTAATTCTCATCTCAGCAGTCATCAGCACAGTTGACTCAACCACTCCTTCCTTCTTAAAAAAGTTTCTCGTCCTGACATTTGTGACATTGCCCTATCCTGGTTTTCTTTCTATCTCTCTGATATCTTCTGTCTTTTCTGCTACCTTTTCTCCCCTTAAATCTTATTATTTCTCTGAGCTCAGACCTAAGCCATCTCCTCAGTTCTTCACCTAGGTATTTCCCTTTTCTTTTTCCATGGTTTCCAGATCTCTAATCCAAAACTCTCTTCTGAGTTCTAGGCCTTGACTATTCGATAGCTATCTATTTGGCATCACCAGTCTGTCTACTTCCCTCAATTTTTACTGCCATCAAATTAGCCCCAAGCCATCACCTTAACACAGGCCTCCGTTGTCTGTTACTTTTAAAGAATTGCAGTTGTCTCTTAGCTGGTCCTCTGAGTCTATGTTGATCTCATCTCCAATCCGTTTTTCACACAGAAGACAGAGTAATCTTTTAAAATTTTGAGTCTGATCCTGTCAGTCCTTACTTAAATAAACTTGCCTGTAGAAGACTTCCTGTTTTGAGTCCAGAATTCTTCATGTGGCCAATAAGGTTTTACTGCTTTCCTCTTTCTCACAACTCCCTAGCCACACTCGTTTCCTTTCAGTGTTTCAAGTGCACCAGCTCCTTCCTGCCTCAGGGCCTCCACTTCCGCCTTTCTTCGTCTGGCTAACCCCTGCCCATCCTTTACCTCTCAGCCTAAAATATCGCTCCCTCAGAGAAGCCTTCTCAGGTGACCTAGGCTTGGTTAGGAACCCCTTTCACTGCAGTGTTTTTCATAGCTCTTTTAATGCCTTTTTAATAATTAATTCTTTATTTTAGCCTTTTTAGTAATTAGTTCTTATGTAAATATTAATTTTTTTAGTGTCAGTCTCCCCTAGCTTTAGGTTCCATGAGGACAGAGGCCAGATCTGTGTTTTTCCAGAATTGTATCCCAAGGATCTAGTCTAGTGGCTGGTACTTAGAAGGTGCCTGATGTCTTTTGATGGAAGGAATGAAGAGTTTGGGTGGCTTGCTCAAGGTCATTAAGATAGTAAGTGGCAGAGGATTGAAATTAGGTCTGTGTAATCCTGACAAATCATGTGGCCCCTTGAGCCCTTTCCACAGAGGGATCTGGCTCTCGAGGTTAAACTGAAATCTGCCTCCCTGTGCTTTGCCCAGCTCAGCCTCAGTCTCCTCCTCTGTGGCTTCTGTGAACCTTGGGGTTGCTGGGGCCTTCCCGATTTGACAGGCTTAGCTGATGACTTTGTTGAAACATTGTGGGATTTGATCCTGTCTGCCTGTTGCCACATTAGCCTTGTGGGGAGAACTCCAGAAACTGGGGGCCTAACAGACATTGTCCTGGATTCCCCTCCTACTGTCATTACCTCATCCAAGCTCCCTTTGATCCTGCATTCTTTGCCCCAGGGTCCTGGAGTGGAACTCGGGGCTGATTTGAGGTAAATCTCTTCCTGATTTGAGGTAAATCTCTTCCTCAGGACTCCAACCCACCTCCTGAGTTGGAGGATTCCTACTTCTTTTACTGCCAGTGCTGTGGGCCGGAGTGAGTGGTCATCTTTCTGTGCTACGTGATTGTACAGGGGCTCAGTCCCAGAGCTGGATCCAGACCTCTTGGTCTCTCCTCTCTGCTCAGTTGATGTGCCTAGAAGTTCTAAGCCAGAACACATTTCAGAACCGTCAGCCTGTTGAGCTCTGGAGAGGTGTTTCTCAGAGGTTCCTCCCAGCACTGACATTCTCAGATCACAGCTTTGGAGCGTTGCATAGTTAGTGCACTCCCGCTGGTCTTGGCCCCGCCCTTTGACTCGACCTTATCCTTTTCTACTGCCTTTTGCACTCTTGATAAACCTTTTGAAGAACTAGCCATCAGTGAGCTAAGTAGGTGATCTGTCTGCAGCATTCAGCAAATGTTGATGGAATGACTTGGGTCGGAGTCGGAGGGCCTAGGTTCTGATCCTAGCTTGTTTCTGTCCTCTGGGTTTTGTTTTCCCCAGGGACAGGGCTGCTCTGGTGTTGTGTGATAGTGAGTCAGCCCCCCCACCCCCCGCCCCGCCCCCCAGGCCTAGGCCACTGCAGACAGTTTTGCAAGAGAGTGAGGTGGGGCTGCAGGCAGGAAGCTCTATATTCATGGATTCTTGAGGCAATGTGACATCTCTCCATTCTGCCTTTGGGGAATGTTGGTATCAGGTGGCAGTTCTGTTGGCCAAGCAAGGCCATTCCTCAGAAGGGCAGCTTGGAGTAAGGGAAGCCCCCAGGCTGTACTGGGTTCTGGTGGGCCTAGCTGTGTCTGCTCTGGGTATCCTTGCGTCCTCCTCTCTTACTCCTTGTCCCAGCACCTGCTGCCCTCTCCTCCCCTGCTATCCCTGTTGCAGCTTCAGGTCTTTGGCTTTTTCAGAAGACAATGCTTCAAAACAAAAGAAAAAACAGAGCAAACTGAAGAAAATAACAAAAGGGCAACGCAGTTAATCTACCTTACAGACAGAGAAAGTTGTAATAATAAATGCAGAAGGCTTTTAAAAAATGGATTATGCCGTTTTGCAAGATTAAAATTCTGGAGATTAGTTGCACAACAATGAATATACTTAACACTAGTGAACTGTACGTTCAAAGATAGTTAAAATGGTAAATTTTATATTATGTGTTTTACCATAATAAGTAAGCTTCAAGTCTTTTTTTCCTTGGGGTGAGGGGGAAATGCTATGAGCTATAAACCGTTACAAGGAAAGTATGCAAAATTTCAAATTTCTCTTTGGAGCATGAGATTTGTTTTCTGTTGTAATTAACTGTGGCAATAAATAATCTAAGTAATATATATTCATTAAGGAAAATTTGAGTCCAGAAAAGTAGGCAAAAGGAAAAAGTCATCTATGACCCTACTGCTGAAAACATCACTGGTGTGAACATTGACATATTTCCATTTGATCTTTTTTCTTTGCACAGATTGGGCTCGTCTTTACATATGGTACCACATACTGTGTCTCCAGTTTTGTACCCTGCTTTTGACAATGTTATATCTCAGGCTTCAGTTGACTGGCTGCCTGTTTAGTCCCTTGAGTGTGTACCATCATTTATTTAAATCTTCTTCTTTTGTTGGGTATTTATCATTATTTCCATTTCTTTGCTTTTTTTTTTTAAATTCTTTTTTTTCATTGTGGTAAAGTTTTATGTAACATAAAATTCGCCGTTTTATTTTTTTTAATTATTTTTTAAATATTTTATTTTATTTTTTTGAGGAAGATTAACCCTGAGCTAACATGTGCCACCAATCCTCCTCTTTTTACTGAGGAAGATTGGCCCTGAGCTAATATCTGTGCCCATCTTCCTCAATTTTATGTAAAATTCACCATTTTAGCCATTTTTAAGTATGAAACTCAGTGCATTAATTGCAGTCAGAGTGTTGTGCAACTATCACCAGTATCCATTTCCAGGATATTTTCATCACCCCAAACAGAAACTCTGTGCCTGTTAAGCAATAACTCCCCAATCCCTCCCCTCAGCCCCTGGTTACTTCTAACCTGCTTTCCATCTCTGAATTTGCCTCTTCTAGATATTTTACATAAATGGAGTCATAACAATATTTGTCCTTTGTGTCTAACTTATTTTACTTAGCATAATGTTTTCAAGGTTCATGCATATTGTCCCATGTATCAGAAACTCATTTTTTATGACTGGATAATATTCCCTTATATGGATATGCCACATTTTTTAATCTGTTCATCTGGTGATGGATATTTGGGTTGTTTCTGCCTTTTGGTTGTTGTGAATAATGCTGCTCTGAGCATTGACATACAAGTGTGTGTTTAGTCCCTGTTTTCGTTTTTGGGGGTATATAATCTAAGAATGGAATTGCTATGTCATTTGGTAATTCTGTGTTTAACTTTTTGAGGAATTGTCAAACTCTTTGCTTCTTTAATTATAAATAACGCTTAAATGAATATCTGTATGCATGAAGCTTTTTTGACATTTCTACTTATTTCTTTAAATTTCTTGAAGTGAAATTAATGGGTTAAAGGATGTGACAATTTGAGACATTATGCCAAATGCTGTCTAAAAAGATTGATCCTTTTTTGTTGCTGTCACAAGTGTCTGAGAATGCCCTTGTCACCAAACCAACACTGCACCAGATATTTCACTGTTTTGAATCTTGGAGAAGAGATGTTGTCCATCTCTGATGGCACCATAGTCTGGGCACAAAGTGGCTTCCCTGACATAGCCCCTGATCACCAGCCCTGAGTCCTTCTCCTTTCCATTCTCCTTGTCCCAGCCCAGTCTTCAGGTCCTATTAGATCCAACTTCCCAATCCGTCTCTGGTCTATCCCTTTCTCTCCATCTGCCCAGCAAAGATGAGGTCGATTTGGAGTATAAAAGATGTTCTCTAGCTCTGGGGCTTCCCGTTGCCATTTTGCCTCCTCTCCAGAAGACCTAAGGCCTCTGTGGTACCTTCCCACTTTGGCTGATTCTCACATTTTTCCTGTCTTTTCCTTCTGCTGTTCTCTCCCAGTTCTACAGCAAGTCGGGCATGCCTACCAAACACCTCTCGGACAGCGTGTGTGCTGTGTGTGGGCAGCAGATCTTTGTGGATGTCAGTGAAGAGGGCATCATCGAGAACACGTATAGGCTGTCTTGCAATCACGTGTATCCTACCTGGAGCTCCTGGGCCACATCACTCCTGCCACATGCACACTCCCAGTCAGGGAGGGAAGGGGGGCATGCTGCCCAGACCTCTGAGTGTAGGAGAGTCACAAGAGGGCAGACATTTGGGTGATGTGCCCTGCTAGAGAAGCTGACACCCAGGAGTGGGAACTGCAGCCTTCCTCGCTCTTTCCCACAGATGGGAGACTTCTGTAAACAGTATTATTTATAGCCGGGCTGGATCAGAAGGGAGCCTGAAGCTGCACTAGCTATCCCAGAATTGGATTCATCACAGGGGAGGAGCATCCTCTAACTGGATCCTTCAATTGCAGAATCACTCTCCCTGAATGACACTTCTGATATTTATCATGTACTTACTCAGCTCCCATTCTGTGCATGTATTATAGATATAGACAGATATCATTATCCTCACTTCACGTATATGAGGAAACAGGTTCAGAGAGAAGGGACTTGCCCAAGATTATACAGCTGATAAGAGGTGAAGCCAGGCTTTGACCTTTCTCCAGAGCTAGCACATGGGCACCTTGAAGACGGGCACGGGGCTGGAGGGCCATCCTGGCTGCCCACCATTTTCCTTGACCAGTGGTGCTCAGGTTCCACGAGTTCTGCATCCGTGGCTGGTGCATTGTGGGAAAGAAGCAGACGTGTCCCTACTGCAAAGAGAAGGTAGACCTCAAGAGGATGTTCAGCAACCCGTATCCTTTGTTTTGGGTTCTTGTTGGGGGTGGGCAATGGGAAGAAAGTATTGGCAAGTGTGACCGTTCCTTTGGGTCCTCCTGGGGCCCTTCCTCTTGCCCCCAACCTGGTACATGTCCATCATTCTGCTTGACTTCAGGTCTAGGGAAGTCGGGGTGGAACGTGGGGCAGGACTGGCAGCTCAGCACCTCATCCTCGTTCTAGATCCCTCAAGGTTAAATTGGTAGTAAGCAGCTGCCATGTACTGCTCACTTACTGTGTACCTGGTACTGTGTTAAGTGCTTTATTGTATTATCTCATTTGATTCTCCAGCAAGTTTATGACCTCGGTGATATCCTCATTTTACTAATGAACCATTTAGAGGTTGAGTAACTTGTTCAAGGTTACATAACTAATGGGTGATGCCTTACCTATGACATGCAGGGCTGGAGACCAGCTCTTTGCCTGTGCAGGGCCTGCAAGGTGCAGGGATGGCTGAGGGCACCCTACCCCCATCCACTTTCAACACAGGACTTGTGCTCCTCTGAGCTGCCACTTCCTTCCCTGCCAGCCCTCCCCACTTTGCCCTCACCCTCCTCTTCATCCTCACAGTCTGTCTGTTAGAAAGTGCCCAGCCACTTCTCTGCACCTCCCCCCCTTCACTTCCCCTGGGATCTAGGAGCCCAGCTTTCTCCCCTCCCATCTCCCAGCAGCCCTTTCTCTCCTGTCTCCTGGACACTAGCTGGGTTGTGCAGGGGCTACTGTGTTCCCGGCACATTCCCACAGTCCCTGAACAGGAGGCTCTGGCCCATCCCCTTCAAGGTTCCCTGCTTGGTTCTTCCAGTGTCTAGTTCAGGAACAATTAAGTTACTCCATGGCCAAGCTGAGGCTTTGGGCTTCCTTAGTTCTCAGGGACTGGGCTAGGCTGGTCTGTCTGATGCCTTTGGAACGGTTCCCCTACAGTCTCATGAGGTTCAATCTGTGCTTTCCCCAGAGCTGGAGTCCCAGGCTCCCTCTCCAGATGTCTTGCCCAGCAGTTAGCTGTAAAGCGAGAGGAAGGGAGCTTATCTCCACGGCTGCTTGGCCGCAGGAGGGCCGAGTGCTTAGTGCCTCTGAGGGGGATTCCCTGGAGCCTCTGCTGAGGGTTTTCCCCTGTGACTAGTTTCTTGCTCCCTATTCCCTTCTGCCTCTGCCTCTAGATTCACCCCCTTCCTTGACCTAGAAAACCTTCCATCTGGGACATTACAAGAACCTTTGGGTTACCTTATCCCACTCCCAGCCTCCCTTCAGCCATTGTCGCAGATACATTTGCAGCAGTCCCGGATTGTGTTCTCTCCCAGTGGCGGTCCCGTCTTAAAGAAGGTGTTACACAGGAGGCCCTCTCTGCATTTTGATCACAGAGAGCTTAGTTTCACCTCTCCACCCCATCCCATGTCTGTCCTGTCTTCTGCACTGGTCCCCTCTGCCCTCCTCCCATTCTCTGGGTTTAGCCCTTCATTCCAACATGGAGAGGCTGGGTGGGGCTTTCTAGAAAGCAACTTCCTCTCTTTGTAGCCTGATTTCTGTAGAGCAGCTAGAAAGTGTGGGCAGACCCTGCCGTCCATCCCCTAGACCGACCTTAGCAGGCTCTAACAGACAGCCTCTTTTCTTTAACGCACTAACAGCTGGGAGAGGCCTCACGTCATGTACGGGCAGCTGCTGGATTGGCTTCGATACTTGGTGGCCTGGCAGCCTGTGATCATCGGCCTGGTGCAAGGCATCAACTACATCCTGGGCCTGGAGTAGTCAGGAAGAAGAGCATCCTCCCACCGTCGGCCTCAGGGCATCTCCTCCCTGCCCTCCAAGACCTCCTGGTGGGAAAGACTCAGAGGGCACTCGGGCCACTCAGGACCCTCCGGCTGTGTCCGGGCTGGGGAGGGATATGATGGAGAGCCGGCCAGTGGGGCTGTCAGCAGTGGGGGCTTTTTAAAAGAAAACTATTTTGATGAATATATTTAAAAACCTTTTTTATTGTGGAGCATAGGAATTGCCCTAACTCCTCCAGGCCTCACCCTCCCTGCTTGAGCAGGGAGGGAGCTGAGCCACAAAATTTTTGGTTTAAAGGAACCTTTTCAACTCTGGCTGAGAGTCTCAGCCCACCCCTCCCCTTGCCTTCCCTCTGTGGGGCTCAAGCCTGGTGTTCTCTGTGCAGAAAAGCTGAAGAGCTCCAACTGGTACCACAGATGAGCCCTGGGGGCTGAGATGTCTTCCCTCCTCCCCTCTCTGGGACATGGGGTGGGTGTTGCATCTGACTCTATCTTCCCCTGTCCAGGAGCTACAGGCTGGTTGAGGCAAGTGGAACCTTGTTGTGACTTTTCCAACGAGGGAATCCCCGGGACCTCAGAAATCTTTGAGGATTTGTTTGGGGGCAACCAGAAGCAGTTAGCAGTGTGTGTAACCTGCCCCTGAGCAGGGCTGAATTCAGCCAAGGAAGAGCCATCTGTATGTAGTTGGGCCACGGAGCAGTGATTGCTGTCAGCAACAGTGATTGAGGGCCTCTTGTGTAAGCTGATCCTTTACTGTGGAAGTGGTGACATGTGCCAAAGGCCACTCTGCCACATCACTTCCTTCCCTGAAAGCTTGAGTGAGAGTGTGTCTGCACGTCTGTATGTGTGCGACAGAGGGACTATGACAGATGTGAGACTTCTCCCTGTCATCAGACAGTGTTCCCTTGAAGCTAGTAGGGGATTCCCAGCCTGGGGAATATCCCTGTGTCAGCTTCGTCATTCATAGGTCCTGCCTGGTCCTGGCAATGGGAGTGGTGGGGTGGGTGGGAAGAGGGTAGGGCCCAGGTGAGTATGGGTTCTGAAAAGGGGTTCCAGGTAGGTCCCAGCCCTGGTGTTAGGAGTTTTGAAGGAAGTGGGAGGGCAAACATGGACTTTTAGCACTGGGTTCCTAGGGAATATGGCCCAACTGGGCCTACCCCTTCAAGGGCAGCAAGAACCAAGCAGGATCTTGTCACTCCATTCTGAATAAAGCTCCATGAGCTGGGTTGGAAAGCTGAACATCCATCTTGCTTTTCTTCTTCCCACCTCATTCCCTGGGGCTCTTGGGGGCGCCTTGCCTTTGCTGCCTGTCAGTGCTCCCATTTGAGCGCTTGGGGTGTGGGAATGGTTGGCCTGCCCAACATCCTTTGGAGTGGTGGGATGCCAGGTTCCTGTCCTGTGGCAGAAGGGGCCCTGGGGCATCACTGGGCTTTCAGACTGAGGTGACTCTATCCTCCACTCTTCTCTTGGGCCACTCTCAACTTTGGCCTCTCTCACCCAGCCGTGGCTTCCCATGGCTTCCACTGCTCATGCCAGTGGGCCCCTCCTCGGAAAGTGGACTGGGGACTGATTGGAGGGTCCAGGGATCATCCTTTCACTTTTGTCACCTGTATCCCCACATCAGGCTCCTGTGAGAAGCTGAAGCCAGGCTGTCCAAGGCTCTCTTTTCATACTTCAGCAGTCCTGAGTCCCGTGACCTCCAGTGGCCCAACTCTGGTCTTTGTTACCCTCTAAGGTGGAGACCTATCTCCTCTGTCTCTACCATCCCCACCCCCATCCCACAAAGGACGGTGTCTCGCAGAAGCCCTAGGTGGCCTTGCCTCCTGACCTAAGTGCTGGAGATACCCATGTTTCTAGGGAGGCGTTTCCCTGCGATTTGCAGCCCAGGAGCTCCTGGGTGGCTGGGTGGGAGGTAGGGGAGGAAGACGTCAGCTAGAGGCCCAGAGAAGAGGATGTAACTTTTAGTCGCCTATATCTAAATTAGGAATATGAGTCTATTCCCACCAAAAAACCCCTTGGGATTGCAGCAGATGAGATGATATTCTGACACATCCTCCAAACCCACTTCCATCTCCTGGCCTCCCTGGCTCTGTCTCCAGCACTCCCATCCTCCTGATCACGAAAGTCACAAACCACAGACACTCAGGTCTTGTCCTTCACACTTGATGTACGCATGCACGGGCTCACCAGTCCCGGGTAGTTCTGCCTCTGCAGACACTAGCATGACCCTGACAGTGAGTGCCTCACTTGCCTCACCTTAGTCCTGGCCCTGCCACAGCCTCAGTTCCATCTGTCCCATTAACGATCGCGCTGACATATTTATATAGCTCTGTTGTTCGAGCCAGGGCTGGGCTACTCCCCAGCTTCCTACTTCCCTGGGAAGTGCTCTCTCCTCCTATTAGGGTCAGCACTCCAGCTTGTGTTCCAGGTTCTCAGCTTGGCTCTGAGAGGGTCCTGCAGACAAGGCCAGGAAGTGCTCGTGGTGGCTCACATGGAGGCAGACACAGCTGAGCCGTGGACCTCCGAGAAGGGAGGATTTGAAAAGGAGAAATCTTCAGGCTTGGGAGCCAGGTAGGGGGAATCTAGACTTCTTGGGGAACCTAGACCTCTAGGTCTGGCTAAGGGGCTGGGATGAGAACAGTGAGAAGGGTTTAGGGGGATGATGGGTGGGTGTTGGGAAAGGCCAGGATGTGGATGGGCTGGTGTGACATTGAGCCTGAAGCAGTCAAAGTGATCCAGTTTGGGGTCCTCAGTGCCTAGGAGAGTTGTCCCCTTGAATATTGGTGTGAATGTGAAGGAGGGAGCAGGAGGCCTGCTCACATAGAAGCGAAGGCCTTGCTCTGAAGAGCAAAAGTGGACAAAGTTCTGACTCTTGGCTGGACAGAAGAATTGATCTATGAGAGACTTTCATTAATTCATACCCTGTGTGACCCTGGGATGGTGAGGCTAAGTGTGGATTAAAGACCCCAGTCTGATATCTGGAGAGTAGGGGTACTGAGAGTTAGCAGGAAGGTTCCAGGCCACTGTGAACTTTGGCTTCAGAAGAGGCACTGTGTGCAGAAACGTTGAGAAGTGAGCCCAGACTGTTGTCATGTATGTGTACCCTCTGTTAGTGGCCCAGAGTCTGCTCTGAATTCCCTGGTTAGAATAAAAGTGAAAGTGAAATAGAGGGGAGGGGAGCAGTGCTTTCCCAGAAGGATTTCACTCTATCCTGCCCTTCCCAGAACCAGCTCTGGCAGTGAAGAGAGTTTTGCCTCCTTTTGTGACTAGCTAAGTCCTTGGCCCTCTTTGGGCCTCAGTTTCTCTAGCCCTGTAACAGAGGGATTAGATTGGTGTAGTAACCAGCGTTATGTTAAGGTAATGAGAGTGAGGGTGGGGGGAGACTGTTGCCAGATCATCCTCTAGCTGTGTCTCTAAAGCACTGAGAGAGCTCCAGCCTAGGCTCAATGCCTGTCCTCTGGGAGTCGTTGACTGGGATGGATGGACAGGACAACAGGACAGAGTAAACAGCAATGCCTGGCAGCCTACTGAAGATTCAGACCTAGGGAGGAGCTGTGGCGTCCACAGGAAAAAGAGAGCCAGGGGGCCGGCCCTGTGTCCGAGTGGTTAAATTCGCACGCTCCACTGCGGCGGCCCAGGGTTTCACTGGTTTGAATTCTGGGCATGGACGTGACACTGCTCATCAGGCCATGCTGAGGCAGCATCCCACATGCCACGACTAGAAGGACACATAGCTAAGAATGTACAACTATGTACTGGGGGCCTTTGGGGAGAAAAAGGAAGAAAAAAAAAAAAAAGAGCCACACATACAGTGGGGATCTGGGCAAGCCACTGAGGAGATGTGGGAGAAGTAGTTTATTCACCATTCTCCTCCCCCACCTCCTCCCAGAGAGGAGGAAGTTGTCACAGATATATAGAGCCAGGCACGGCAGCTCCTGACACATGCATCATGACGACGAGACGGAACTGGACACCAGGTGGGTTGTGGGGCTGTGCATGGGGGAGTCGGGTGGTTGGAATAGGGTAGGGTCTGAGACCAGAATGGAGCGATGGGGCCTGCTCTGAGCCTTAACCCCCAGGTCAACTGCACTGAACTGTTTTGCGATTGCTTTCAGCCTCCCTTCAGATGCTATGGCTCTCCCTGTGCTCCATTCAAAAAGGGCCAAGAGGTGGGGGCTGAGGGGAACCTTCTGCCCCTCTGGTTCCCTGGGCAGAGCCCAGGAATCTCTGGGTCAGAGTTACATCCAGGCAGCAGCTACCTCTCCAGCCAAGATCCAGGCCCAGATGCCAAGCATTCCCAGGCAGACAGCCACTAACCTCTGTGACTGTCCTTTCCTCAGACTCCAGCCCTTTGTGGGCCCGGCTCCTGTGTGTCCACATCGTCTCCTGCCTGGTCAGAGCTACACCTCTACCTCAGGCCACCACAGCTACCACTGTCTCAGCTGCGATCACGAAGGACCCCTACCCCTCTTCGCCCTCAACGCTCCTAACAGCTAAGCGGTGTCCAGCATTGGAGGTGACCTTGCCAGAAGTGGAAGTCCCACTGAGTAAGGAGCAATTCTGATGGGAGCCCAGGAAGGCACAGAGGTCAGAGGGTGGGCCATGGGGACAGAGGGTCCAAGGGTGAGGTTGACTCCCGAGCACCCCCACCCACCTTCTGCCATGTAGCCTACCACCACCCAGGCCAGCTTGGCTGAGCACTCAGCATTTTCCTTCTCCCACCCAGAATTCTGTGGGCACAGGGCCCAGCTCCTAAAATGCTTCTTATCAAATGGGACCGAGAGAGTTCAGACATAAGGAGTGGTCAGAGGGCTCCCAGAGCCTTGGTTGCAGTGTGCTCCAAGGTCCAGCCCCTCCCCTCAGAGCCCGCCTGCCCTCGGGCCACCTCAGAGGAGCAGTGGCCTGTTGGTGCTGCCTCCTTGGCCAGGGCTCCTGGAGTTAGCAGAGCTGGGCACGAGAAAAAGGTCATCGTGAAGAAACAAGGTCAGGAGTCGTCACCTAAACCAAGGACCTATCCCCAAATTCCTCTTGCTCAGCTCTGGGCCTCCCTTGTAGACTACTCCCTTATAGTCCCCTTTAAGGGACTAAGTTTCCCACCTGGGTGGTGTGCACAGCAGCATTCCAGGTTCCTGAATTGTGGAAACTGGGGAGCTGGGCAGGGTGGGCAGGCCACAGCATGGCAGAGGGGAGGGTCTGCTCTGTGGAAGGGCTAAGAGCCGCATGTGTCTCCAGATGGAACGCTGACCTTGTCCTGTACTGCCTGCAGCCGCTTCCATCACTTCAGCATCCTCTACTGGCTGGGCAATGGTTCCTTCATTGAGCACCTCCCAGGCCGGCTGCGGGAGGGCAGCATGAGGTGAGGGACATGGCGGCGAGGCCAGCAGGAGGGAGGTCTCTGCCTGCTGTCTTCTCATGGCCTTTCCTTCTCTGCTCTAGCCGGGAGCACAGGGGCAGAAGCACCCAGCTGTGGAGAGCCTTGGTGCTGGAGGAGCTGAGTCCCGCCCTGCGCAGCACCAGCTTCTCCTGTGTTTTCACGGATCCTGAGCAAACTGTCCAGCGTCACGTTGTCCTGGCCCAGCTCTGGGTGAGGAACCTGAGGAAAGGTTTCCAGGGACAGGAGGAGCTCTGCTCCAGCGTGGGAAGAAAAGGGTGGGCTCTGCCCAGAGCAGGCTCCAGCTAATGCCCACCATTCCCCAAGTCCCCAAGCCTGAGGTGGAAACTAAAAGGAACTCAGGACAGACAGGGGAGCATAGCCAGGAGGAAAGTGACAAGAGATGTCTCTTCCCTCTTGGCCCTGATCCTTGTTTGCCTTCACTTCCCCAGGCTGGGCTGAGGACAGTCATGTCCCCGACTCAAGAAGCCCCACCTTCCAGCGGGTCCCCTCTTCCTCACCATCCTGACAGGTGAACTCTGAAGCCTGGTTGAAACGCCACCTCTTCATCAAGGTCTACGCTCTCAGGCTGTGTTCTGCATCGACTTAATGTTGTGTTTGCGTTCTCTTGTTTTCCTCTAATGGACTGTCCCAGGGAAGGGATGCAGGCAGAGGCTGACTTCTGATCCACGGCTGTATCACTGTCATACCCAGCAAGGCCCACAATGGGCACTCATAAATGATATTTCAATGGAGGCATGCTGACATCTGCTCAGTCATTTAGGCCATTGTTCCACTCACAGAACTTGGCCCGTCTCAGGAGAGTATGGGAAGAGAGGGACTGCCATTCAGAAGCTAAAGACAAAACTAGATTTAGGGGACACAGGCCCTCAGGAGAGAAGAGGACAGGTTGTAACGCTCCTGAGGAGCAGAGGCCCGAAATGGAGTGTGGAAGATCCTGTGGCCCCAGAAAGGCCAGGAGAAGGGATTTGAGAGAAGGTGGGTGGTCCTGGAAGACTCCGCAGGGACAAAGGTATACACAGAAGAGCCCAGGCTGCTCTTCTTTTCCCACACAGATCAAGGCAGCTCAGCACTCACTCAAGGGAGAAAAATAGACTTTATTTACAAGTAATAACATTTAGAAAAGATCCATCCCTGGCCCTTAAAAACCTTCCCATCACTCCAGTCCTACCCCAGTGCAAGTCTGGGGAAGGCAGCCCTCCCACCCCCCTTTCCATCACCCTCCTGCCCCCGAAGCATGGGCCTATCTATCCTGGAAAAGAGCATCCTCTGGGCAACCCGAGGGTAGAGTGCTCCCACCAGGTCAATGCCCAGTCCTGGACTTCAGGAGCAGCAGGGACCAGGGCCTGCTCCTCCAATGGTCCCTTCTAGATTCAGAGGCTGATAGGAGGACTGGCTGGGCCCGAGGACCCAGCCACTCAAAGCCAGCCTGAAATCTGGTTGTGATGCAGAAGTGACTTTAAGAAAACATCAGGAGACAAGGTAGACAGAAGACCCAGACTGTCCAGACTCCAGGCCTCCTGGGCCAACTCTGAGGACACATCTGTTCACCTAGTGAAGGTCCAGGTACCAGGCCGGGGTGTGGGCAGGCATCACTGTCTCTAGGGGTTTGGCCACTGTTGGCCTGGGAGCTGAGAGAAGGCACTGAAAGGGATAATAGATGGAGAAGGACCAGACGAGGTCAGCATCAGGAACACAGGTGGGGCCACTCACTGGTACTGACCCTTTAGTGCTTTGCCTGAAAGAAAGAGAGAGAGAGAGTCACTTGGCTGGATGAGACTTGTGATGCCAGCCTGCACCAGCTGGCTCAGGAAGACCTCTTCTGGCTCCTGTACACCCGACTAGGACCCCTTCCTTGGTGTGGCCCTGGACCCATCTACCTTCAGGTTACCGGTCACTGGCTGTGCCTGAGCAGCTCTGGGTGTTCTCGGTAGGAATGGAGTTGCCTGCCTCCTCTCTCAACAGTGAGCAGCTAACCAAGACAGACAGCATCTGTTCTCAGCGGCCAGCCGCCAGCGGCCTGGCTCGGCCCTGCCTTGGAAGCCACCCCATAGTAGTCTGGGGATTGCCCATGCTTCTATGGGGTTTCGTAAGAGTTGAACCCTCCCCTGTCAGTGCCTCCACCTTGCCCTTGGCCCGAGGGGTGGCAGTGGCAGCAGCCATGGCAGCAGCAGTGGCAGCGCTGGCTGTGGTGGTGGCGATGCGAGGAGAGCGGCGGGTTCCACTGCGGGTGGTCGGGGAGGCCTTGGATGGGGCTTTCTTTGAGGTTCCCCTCCGCAGAAGGCTATTCCCGAGCTTCTTGGGCGTGTTGAGGATGCTGAAGGCCATTGACTGGCGGCGGTCGGCCTGTGGGAAAGAGCTGTCAAACTGGGAGCTCCCCCGCTGCCTTCCCAGGCAACCTGCTGCTCTAGGGCTCTGCCAGCAAGGCCCCCTAGAGGCTCCCTTCAGCCCTCGACTAACCTGTTTAACAACAGCTGGAGCTGCTTTCTTCTCTGTAGTGCTCTGTTTGCGCCCTTCATGTCGGTCCCGGGGAGTCAGGGGGCGTGGGAAACAGCTGGTGGCCTTCTTAGACTATGGGGAAGAGGACAATGAGGCAGACAGTGGCAAGAGGACTTCACATCTACGGCCAGGTGTCTCAGAGCTGAGTGGACCTTATAAGTCTATTTGTCCAACCAGCACCCTCACTCAGAGCCAGAAGGCTCCCATTTAATCCACTTTTCAAACTTGGTGAGCTGGGCAGGCTGCCAGATAGAGCACAACACAGGAGTCAATGTCGCCTACCTCGGGGGTGCCAGGGCCCTGGTGCGGCTCTGTTGAGACTCGTTTGCGTTGCTGCCGGGTGGTGATGCCAGCGCCCTCAGCTATCTGGGTTGGCTGCATGCTGGCTCGGCGCAGGGTCTCCCGAGGGTCACCAGTTTTCATCTCCTCATCTGTGATGGTAGCCAAGCTCAGGGAAGGCTGCATGGGGTGGAAGAAGTGGTCAGTGGATCCAAGCTGTCTGGAGATGGAGCAGGAGGACTGCCCCAGAACACTCTTCACTGGCCTGGCATATGGAGCAACTGAAGCCTTCGTATCGCAAAAGGCCTCACTTCCTGTCGTCTTTTCTACCTCTACCCTGCAGCACGATGGCCATAGAAGAGCAGTCCCAAACAGACCTCTCAGTTCCTGCCCACCCACAGTGACTTCAAGGTCACCCTCCTCAGCAGGCAGCACTGGGGAGGAATGCCAAGGGAGGAAGAGGTGAGCCAGTGTGGGCAGGTCCTGTGCAGATGACCCCAGAGCTCACCCTGGACTCCAGGGGATAGCAGGTCTTCAAGTGCGGAGGGCAGACTCGATTGCGCTGCTGTAACTCTGCAATTCGGTTCCAGTCGTCCAGCTGCTCGGGCTCATCCTGGCAAGTGCCCATGTAGAAGCTGTTCCTTCCTGTGGAGGGCAGAGCAAGTGGGGCTAGAAGGCCAGGAGGAGTGAGGGTAGAGGCAGCAGGTTGCCCACTGGCGCTAGCATCTTGCCAGCCTCCCATCCACCTGTCCCGTGGACTTCAAGCCCAGAACCCAAGTCCTGCTCTGCTCAGTGCTGCAGAGATGGGAGCAGGGCTCACAGCCCGTTCTAGCATCGGGGCTGGCTCACTGCTCTTTCCTTGAAGAGGTCAAAAGAGGTCATACGCAGAAGCTATGGCACCAAGAGAAACTAACTGAGGGCCAGGAATTGATATCCAGGGGGTCCCTGAGGGTAAGAGCCTCCAAGAAGAATCTGAGGAGAGAACACTGGCGAGCCCGGCCCTTCCTGTATCCCCTCACCACCTGAGAATGGGCACGGAGGACTCGTGACAGCAGCTGAACATCACTATTGTGCTGGGAATCGCAGGCTCCTTGTGCGAGCATTTCTGGTTCACCCTGGCTGAGATTAGCGTCAGTCTGACTTCCTAGCACAGCCCCTTGGTGCAGGCAGGGCCCCTGAGGAGGGCAGGTGAAGTGCTGGAGGGTAGCCAGGAAGTCAGCCTGGGGTTTTGTCCCTTCCCTGTTTCCAATCTAACCTTTGGGCATGGTAAGTCCCAATCATCCCCTTACCTGGAGGGGCCCCACTGGACACTCCAGCCTGGGAGCGACGAGCAGAACTGCGAGTGGTGGGCCGGTAGCCAGGCAGGCTGAGCAGAGCTGAGTTGCCATCGTCCGGAGAGCCCAGGCGGGCTAGAGACTGGGTAGAAGAGGTGGCTCGTGGGCCAGCCTGAGAAGCAGGGGCAGACTGTGTGCTATAGAAGGATGAGTTGGCGCTGTCTGGCTCCTCCATGTCTAGCTTCTGGAAGAGAGGATGAATCTGTTGCGGTGGGGTGGGGCTATAAAGAAGCCTCCTGTTCCCATCCCTAAAGTGCCTCAGATTCCACAAGTCTGCATGTGTTCCCACACTGCTTTGCAGGGGTCCTTAGCTGCATGTCTGCAAGAAATGGGCCTTGTTGCCAGAATCCCGCACAAGGTACTAAGGCTCTCAAGACTCTTTCCTATCCATTTTTCCATTGAGTCTACTAACAATGCTTTGAGGGAAAGAAGGCAGAGTGTATCAGTCAATTTTAGAAGTGAGGTGCAAATAAATGAAGTGACTGGCTCAAAGGACACACAGCTATAAAGTGGCAGAGCCAGGGCTGGAACCCATGTCTCCTGAGCTAGTCAGGCCCATCCCACAGCCTCCACTGTCCCTCAGCCCAAGCTTGCCAGGGCCCTGACCATCTTTTAGAACTTTTCCAGCTTCTTGGTAGCAGAGGGCACCCCGTACACATAGGTGCCCAGTGCTGCATCAAAGGCACCTCTCTCCTCCCCAACCTCCTTGGGGTATGGAAACAAGGGCCAGAGCCCCCAGCCTGGCAGGCAGCCCACTGGGGCCACCACAACTCATCTCGGCTACCCAGGGGGTGTGCTGGGAGGCACAAGCTGGGCTGCAACTTCTCCATATTCTCTCCCTTCAGCCTCACAGGGTCAGTGCTACATAGGGAGAGGACGCCAGCCTTAGAGTCAGTGGTTAGGCAGCCGTTTCCAGCCCTGCCCCTTTCCACAAAAGAGGCCTAAGCAAGTCACTGCCCTTTCTCTCAGCTTTCCCATCTGAGAGAGATGAATTGGTCAGCCCTGCCTGCCTCTCAAAAGCTGTTTTGAGGACCTGATAGAAGGATGCTCTTGAGAGGAAGTAAGCGTTACTGTCCTACAGTCCTACTCCCAGCAGCCTGACCTTGGTCATGGTGATGTTGATGATTTGCGTGGTGCGCCGACGAGCGGAACGGGTCTTCCGGCCTGAGTCCAGGAAGACATCCCCCAGGGAGTCCAGGCTGCTCTCCAGGGGGGCCTGACCCCGAGCAGGGATGGGGGTGAAGTAGAGACTCTCCAGGGATTCTACCTTGGGGGGTAGGCGCTGGGAGATGGGCGAGGCTGGCTCTCCAGGGATGCTGGTACCGTCTGGCTGGGTACGAGGCAGCTTGCTGTAGAAAAGAAACCTGCTAAGGTGCCAGTCCTGGGGCTAGAAGGCAGTTTGTCCATCCCTTTGCTCCAAATGACCAGTTCCTACATTTATTACCAGCAGAGCAGGTCACGCACCCATTCTCTCTCTGATTTTTGAGATACCCAGGAGAGCCATTGACCTGGGCCCTCCCTTCAGTCCACTCTCCATCGCTGGTGAGCCCATCCACTCCCATGGCTCTTTGAACTCCCCAGTACTGGCAACTCCCAGACTTCTGCCTTAGCCTGGACCGTGCT